CCAGGAGCTAAGTTGCCCAGGGGCAGTGCCTCTAGACTGATAGACTGGGGTGGTGGTCCCCCTCTTTAAGAAGGGGGACCAGAGGGTGTGTTCCAACTACAGGGGGATCACACTCCTCAGCATCCCTGGTAAGGTCTATTCGGGGATTATGGAGAGGAGGGTCCGCCAGATTGTCGAACCTCGGATTCAGGAGGAGCAGTGTGGTTTTCGCCCCGGCCGTGGAACAGTGGACCAGCTCTATACTCTCCGCAGGGTTCTGGAGGGTTCATGGGAGTTTGCCCAACCAGTCTACATGTGTTTTGTAGACTTTGAGAATATTGCTCTCTCTATTCACAGAAAATGCTGTTAAAGACGCGTGGATTGACTATGCCATTGGAGTGTGCAAGAAAGTTGTCAGTGCCTTCTCCTTCAGCTGAAAAAAGTGGAGAGACATGGCAGCGGTGCAACCTGAACTTGGTCTACCTACCCACCAGCTCATCTCAGAGTCTCCAAGTTGGTGGGGTTCAAGACAACAAATGACTGAAAGAATACTTGAACAAGAGAAGGCCATTAGGCAAGTGGTCAGATACAAAAACAAGATACCTAGTACCCACATGGTAAGATACTGATGTGCTGAACGTGCTGTTCCATTGTCTGGTGAAACCTACGTGAGTATCTCTTTCCATAAACCGGTGCTCCACCTGTTCAACAACAGTCTACTGAAGTCTGAGTAGGGAGAGACTGAGCTCACAAAAAAAAAATACTGGAGTATCTGAACAAGAAATACAGCGATCTGGCTACAGTTGAACTCTTAGACATGGCATCACTTGTAGACCCCTGAATCCAGACAATAGAACATGACAAAGTGGACAGACTAAAGGAGAGGGCTATTACAGAGTTACTGTCTTGGTTGGCCGAGAAGGCTGCCCCTGAATCATGCAGAGCTGTGAGTGTACATAAAGAGGATCCTGAAGTTCAGTGTGGAAGTCTGGAAAAGGTGCCCCAAGGAGTCGCTGAGCCTGTCTCAAAGAGGAAAAAAAACACTAGGGAACTTCTTTAAGAAGCCAGTGGCATTTGCCCTGACTTCTGAAGAAAACAAAATTAAATCTGAACTGTCAACTTACTTGCTGAGCCCTGACATGGACCCACACACAGAGATGGGCATAAATACAAAATACTGAGTGGAAAAATGTATTTAAATACAAATAGAAAATACTGTGTAAAAATGTATTTAAATACAAATACAGTATTTTGTATTTTTAAAGTACACAAAATTAGAGTTGTATGTATCGAGACCGGTCTTGGTCTCGAGACCACTTTTACGCTGTCTTGGTCTTGTCACAGTCTCGACGGTCTATTGTCTTAGTCTTGTCTTGGTCTCGGATCCCTCGGTCTTGTCTTGGTCTCGCTGTCTAGTCTTGTCTCAGATCGACACGCAACGTAACAATCGATAGTGCAACATTATTATTATTTCGCCTTTAGCGCCCTTCAAATGCAACCAATCGATAACATACATGCATTTTGTTGTGATTCAGACATTGGCGCTCATCCAATCAAAATACGCGTTATACACGCAAAATCATTGTAGCGATAGTTAAATGTTAGATGCAGCATCACAGTGAGTAGTAAACCTCATCAGTTAAAGTACAGAAAAATGTCAGC